TGCTGGTGCTGCCCGTGTCCACCAGATCTGCACAGAAGGAAAGGACACAATGCACGGAAATCAATCCAAGCACAATTCCAGCTGGTTTGTACAAAATCACACCTCTAAGCAAGCCTGCAATGCATTTACTCCAGGGGAAACATTCCCAGAATATTGAAGATGGAGGGAGAGACCCACCTTTCTTGATCAGCATCTGACTCTGGTTTATTCATCAATCAGGCACTTTTTATAACAGTGTTAATTAAGTTCATGCATATTGCAAAATCTGAGCTCCCAATAGGCTGTAGAGAAAACTTCAGCTCCTCCTTTTGTTTCCAATACCTGAAGTTAGTTTACTGAAACCAAGATCAGTGTTCCCACCCTGATATGAAAGTTCTCAAAACTTTCATCTCTGTTCCCAGACTGGCTGTCTGCTCCCAGTAGCAGCCAAGGACAGAATGGCCTGAGAATCTTGTTGTTTATATAAAAGGTGGCTGAGAACCTTAATTATTTACAGCATCAAGCCTGGGCAAGGCTGCTTTTTCCCTTAGCTGAATCCCTTCATGGCCTCTTTCTTTAAGCCATGCTTGAACCAGGCTCTCCACACCAGAAAGGCACTGCATTCAATCACCCTGCCCTTCCTCAGGGTTAGAATAAAACTAAACCCAAAATAATTCTCTCCACCAGGACAGCAGAGCCCTCCAAACCCAAAGCAAAAAGCCACCAGCAGGTACCTGCTGCAAGTTTTTCCTCGTCTCCACTCAGAGATTTCTCTTCCACATCATTCCCAGGCTTCTCAGCATCTTCAAGCACCGTGCTTTCCTCCAACACCCGAGATTTCACCTGGGCGTGTTTGGGGGAGAGAAAACATTTTCAGATTGAAAACAAATTAAAATCCAATATAGTGAGTAATAAATCAATTATAAATCATAATAAATTATAAATATTATTATAAATCAAATCACTTTCCCTGTTAAGAATAGTAGTTTAACCAAGTGATCTGTATCTTGAATCCATGGTACTGAGGCAGGCAAGGATTAGGTTTTAAAGCACTGATTTTAACGAAGGAAAAAAGACACCATTCCTGCTGCAGGAAATGGGATCAGCTTTGGCTCCCAGGGTGCAGAAATCCCACTTTACCTGCTGCTCGTGGAATCCCCTCAGAGCCCGTTTGACGTTGGAGACCTTGGGGGAGCGGATGGGGAGGGTTTTGATCTCCAGGGCCGTCAGAGTGCTCAGGTCCCCCACGGTCTTGATGTTCTTGGCTCGGATGAGCTGCCCCAGGCCCCTGGCACTGCAGCAGGGGAGGCAATTTGGGTTACTGGTGCACAGCCAGGGAATATCCCCAGCTGGAGGGAGCCACAGGATCAGCAATCCAACCCCTGGCCCTGCACCAACTCCCCAACCACCAAAAAAGTACTTGAAAAATGCCAAAATATTCAAGTCTCTTCCTCACCCGACCAACCCCAATCCCTTTAAAGATTCTCAGGCTCGGTAAGAGCTCAGTCTTTACTGAAATCACCTCCAAAAGCAAGGAGCCACTGACCAGATGTTGGATGTGATCTGAGGTAAAATGACGTCCACAGGGGCCTTGCAGCCGGCCAAGGCAGGGTACACAAACTCCGAGAGGCACGGCAGGGACTCCTTGGCCATCTCTGTGATCTGGGACAACACAGGCACAGCATTAAATTCACTGTCACCCACTGAAAACGGGGAAAAAAAATAGAAGGGAAACATGAACCAAAGCACTTCTTACTAAACACTTCTTTGAGCTCTTAAATTTAAGGGTACGAGATCCTGGGGACAGAAATCCTTTGGTTGGAGTGGTAATGTGCTGGATAGAAAAAGAGGAAAAAAAACATCTCAGGGTGGTAGGAATTGAGTCAATGGTAGGAATTCAGTTAACAGCAGGAATTCAGTTAATAGTGAGATTTTAGCCCCTGAAACCTCAGAGTTCACAGCAACAGAATGAGTCAGGCTAAGGCAGTTTTGTTTCTTACACTTCTGCTCCTCAGCCCTTACAACTGTGTGTAAGTGACTACAAACATGCACCAAAGCCACGCTGTTTCTGATAAACACACAAATGCTTGGGACACACAGAATATTGTCCAGGCTTTGCCCTGACCTGCATGTTGGAGAGGATTTTAAGGCTCCTGGAGGAGGGTGAGGAGTGGGATCTGATGACAGGACTCCTCCTGTCGATGTCGTCGGCCAGGCCCTCCTGGAAAATGGGGTTTGCAAAAGAGACTCGACGGATCTGAGGAGAGACAGGGAGGTGTCAGAGCGGGAACCCAGCCCAGCACAGCCTGGGGAAGCCACTCTGAGGAGACAAAAATATCAGTTTGGAACCATGGAAGCTCTGGAAGGACCCAGGGGATGTTTGAGCAAGGACAGACTGAGGATCCCCTCAGGAATCTCTGTGTACAACCCTGAGCGTGCTGCTCCTGGCTGTGCACCGATCCAGGGTGCTGTGGTTCAAAACAAAACCCTCACAGAGCAAACCTGGCACACTCCAAACCCAAACCCCACCATTCCTGTCAGATTATTCACAACAGCCGCCAGTTACTGAACAGATCTGGGGTGGTTTCAGCTCCCCAGGGAGCAGCACCCAGTTCCCGGGCACTTTTACAAAAAGTGTCTCCAAATGCTTGACTAGGGAAAAACCCCTTTCAATATAGGAACA